TTAGCCTAGATTTTCGTTTCGACCACCGTTCCCATTCGTTACGGGATAAAAAAAAAAAAGGATTTCCACGATTACGTATTTAAACTTCGAACAAAAATTAAAGTTGTTGCGTTGCACAGAGTATTGGTTCCCCTTTTATGATAGAAAAATATATCGTTTTGCACTTTGGGGGAAAGAAACGATCGTGTTTTTTGGAGGGAAATTAATGTAATTATTCAATAGAAATAATTTTATTTAAGGAAATTTGCGATCATTATAAATAAATTTAAATATCGAAGGTAAATATTAAAATTTTCCAAGAGGAGTTAAGCATTGGAATACGATCTAAAATGGGACTTTTTTTTTTTTTCTTTTTATTTAAAACGGCGAATTCTCGGTATGAATATATTTTTTCAATTATTTCTATCTATCCACGAGGTTAAATTTCGAGTGAAAATAAATATCATTATATTTTTGAAGAGGAACTCTTATTATTAGATTCTCATTCGTTGAAAAAATATCTAGATAAATGATACGAAATGGGGTATAACATGTTTTAAAACGAAAATTTTTTAATCAAAATCTTTTTTTTCGATTTTACTTTTATAAAAGCATTCATATATATATATATATGCAATTAGATTTCTACATATTATATTTTATCTTTGTATCTTTTATCTAAAATTTGAATATTGAAATATTTTAATTTTCTAAATATTTAAAAATCTAAAAATTTCGTGAAAACATTTATCGCGGGATAACTCGAATCATTTCCATTACCTAAAAGCGATCAGATGTTTCAACCTTAATCCAGCTATATAATATATATAATTGGGAAAATACATTTACGATGACATAGATGCTTAAGATAATCAGGAATATAACGGAGTGACTGGAAGTTCCAGGAAACCACTTTCCCGGAATTTAGTTTGATATAGAGCGATCCTTGTGCTAGCTAGCTTGCACAGAGCGTAATAGTAAGTTCCTTAATGATAGAAACAGTTACGGCGTATTACCTGGAAGTGTACATCGTTGTTTGCTATTCATTAGCCAGGATTATATTGGGGTGACCAATAGATGTTCGCAATTCTCTGCCTTTACGAGATTATTTCTCTAGATATCAGCGACGATTTTCACTGGCCCTCTTTTCAATGGAAAACTTACCGTGAAACCGATATTAATTATTTTGTCAATATTGACGTGTCCCATATATGAGACTATGAATTAATCAGATTCGAAGGGAAAGAGGAAATCGAAACGATCAGATTCATCTTTGAAAACGAATCATTTCGAATCTAATAAAACACGCTCAAAAAGATAAATTTACGTCAATCTCTCAAAATTAAAATCACGATTGTAACCATCTTCAGAAACCAGGATTCTGATCATCGTCAAACTACTTCAAACTTAATACAATTTAATATAGGAGAATAATTAATCATCGCTCAAAATCTAACGAAACAAAACACGTTTCGATTCACATTCAAAATTAAAATCACAATTGTAACCATCTTCAGAAGCATTGATTGATCATCGTCAAACTACTTCAAACTTAATACAATTTAATGTAGGAGAATAATTAATCATCACTCAAAATCTAACGAAACAAAACACGTTTTGATTCACATTTAAAATTAAAATCACAATTGTAACCATCTTCAGAAACATTGATTGATCATCGTCAAACTACTTCAAACTTAATACAATTTAATGTAGGAAAATAATTAATCATCGCTCAAAATCTAACGAAACAAAACACGTTTCGATTCACATTCAAAATTAAAATCACAATTGTAACCATCTTCAGAAGCATTGATTGATCATCAAACTACTTCAAACATAATACAATTTAATGTAGGAGAATAATTAATCATCGCTCAAAATCTAACGAAACAAAACACGTTTCGATTCACATTCAAAATTAAAATCACAATTGTAACCATCTTCAGAAGCACTGATTGATCATCAAACTACTTCAAACTTAATACAATTTAATGTAGGAGAATAATTAATCATCGCTCAAAATCTAACGAAACAAAACACGTTTCGATTCATATTCAAAATTAAAATCACAATTGTAACCATCTTCAGAAACCAGAATCGACCATCGTCAAACTACTTCAAATCTGATACGATAGCGAAAACATCTCGATTTGTTTGATAAACGTTCAAAGATTATTCATCACACAAAGTAAATTTCTCCAAACAAAATTAAAATCGCGGAAAACAATTAAAATCACCGTTCAAAATCTAACATCTTTCTTTCCAACATACTCTCCATGAAACCCAGCCAATCACCAGAGCCAACTTCCCGAAGTCGAAGAGTTTCGACTCGGTGCTATCCTTCCCAACCATAAATCGTCTTTGAACGATATCGGTGAAAGAGACTTGCGGCGATAAGGGAGCTCTCTCGCTGCACGTCGATCGACGGCACACCCGTGTAAAAACCTTGCTCCATGGCGGACGTATCGATGCCTAAGAAGGCATAAAATCCGAAAATCCGCGAGATCCTTGCGATTTCGCTTCCCTCGATTTTACCTCTCCCCTTCCCTCCCCTCTTCCCTCGCGTTCACTCAACTTTCTCTCCGTCCACCGTTCCATCCTCCCGGAAACAGCAAACGTTTAACACGGGTCCGGCTTCCCGAACATTCGTGCGAAATCTCCGTTAAGCCGGTGGCCGAGCTCGAGCTTTACAATCGACGTTCCAAATCGTCTATCGTCCGCTACCGTTGTTGCGTTGCGCGCCCACCAAATCCAAACGATCGCCCCGATTGTCCTCTCCTCTCCGTCTAATTTCCCCAAGAAACTCGAAACGTCGGGGGAGGGAAGTGGAAAGTGGCTCAGTTTCATTTCGATGATTGAATCGGGAGATACGTCCGTTCATTAGCTCGATGAGCCTCTGTTTTGCGATCCCGTAAAACCGGATTTTATGGACGCCTCCTGTGTACGATTGTTCGCGAAGTGTTTTCAACTCTTTCGACTTTCGTTCAGGGTTATAATTGCGCGATAGTGCAGTTTTTATCGATATTTTCTTATAATTCTCTCTCTCTCTTTCTCTGAATATCGAGTTACAATCTTGCGTAGACTTTGAGATTGAGATTAATCGTTTGCAGATATCTAAGCGTGGATCGTTCAAAAGTGTTTCAAATTGATAAGAGATAAAGTATTCTTTGAGTATGACGATCGTAGATTTTGAGATGCGCGAGTTTTTAGATACTTGTGCAGATATTGTTTAAAAGTTTGTTTGTGCGTGATGTAATCGAGATGTATCGTTTTTGAATTATCGTCTTTGAGTATCGAATTATAATCGTGTAATCTTTGAAATGGATTTTTATAACGTGGATGGGGTTCGAGAGATCGTTTTGTAAAACGAAATCTTAGGGATGAGAGTTTTTCGATTCTCTATTGTAAATGGATTCTATGGTTTTTATTCTATTATTGGTATTTTGTGTATATCTCTGTTAGAAATTCTTCTAATGAAAAATTCGTTTCGATAAAATTTTATCAAGTGGATTTATCACCGATCAAAGGAGAAGTCATTTTTGTCAATATTTGTCAAAGGAAACGAAAAATTATTATTGATATTTTTTACAAACAAGAAAACCGTATCAATCTCACATCAATTAATTTCGAAGGGATCATCTGTATCACGATCGTCCAGAGAGTTCTCGGTATCAGGGTTAAACACAACTTCTTCGAAAGTTGATTTATATATCCTATGAAACCGACCGATCCTCGGAATGATCGATGCTCTCCAATCCATAAGCAACTCCCTATACCAGGCTGGATCGAAATTCATCCAATTATTGGCGAATTCGATGGGCTATAACTAAATATATCGTCTTCCTAGCGGGGTTGAAAAGGAAAAGAGAGGGAAAGAGTGTGTAATCGAGGGACGAGGAATTCGTGAAAGCAACCCTCCTTTTCCACCTTTCAACGACTTTCGTACTTTCGACGAATAATCATGTTGGCACAATGATTCACGCGTGGAAATAATTGTTTCTTTTTTAACGAAAAACATTACGATTAATTAAAAAATTCCCAATTATCTTATTTCGAAATTATTTAATTCACGGATACAGATCTCGTAAGTAATGCCAACTTTTTAAACTATTAATCTCGATAGAAAATTGTCTACTCGTATCTCGATCCATTCCTCACAATTTTTTAATTCGAACAAATTTCTCAATTTCAAAACTTGTATCAATTTTTCTAATTTGCCACGTTTCTAAAAAAATTCTACAAAATTATTAACATCGTTCAATTACATTTCATTTCCTTTTTATCAACATATATATTCGATTATTTCTTTCTACAAAAAGAAAAGAAAAAGAAAACAATTATTTCTACTCTTCTTACGTGGAAACCAGCCTTGACGTGGATCCCTGTCGTGCGAAGGGTAGGAAGGAAAGAGAAAGGGCGAAAGCCAAGTAAATCTGTTCCAATTCCCCCGCGTTCCTTGCCCCTTCACTTATTTCTTGCACCCTACTTGCTGGGATCCCAAGGGGGTCGCTTATTCCCTTAAGCCCGTTTCCATCGCGGATACGACGTCGTTCCACCCGCTGTTCTCCTGCCCGGCTTTCATTAACCCTTTCCGTTAAACCGTTGTTTGTACAAGACTTGCCAAAGCCCGCCACGTTCGAATCCAACGCCGCAATTTCGCCGCGTTTTAAACGTTCTTCGAGGAGGAGGAGGAGGAGGAGGAGGAGTTTCCGCGTTCGATCAAGATGGATTCGATGTTTTCGTTCGAGAAACGGGCGGATTTGTTATTCGTAGAATTCCAGTTAACGTGAGTTGCGAATACGTGCGTGATTCTTATCTTCTATCAATGTCAACAGAAGAGATGGAGCGTACGGAAATGTATTTATTTATTTTTGTTTTTCGAACATAACGCGTAATACGCGTTGCGAACGGTATGTTTATATACTTTAGATTAGACTTTCCTCCTCTGTGTGTATATATATATATATATATTGGAATATCGTTAATAACGTTTTCACGTTTCAGGTTCAGTAAAGTGTTGTACCGCGTAGCGAAACGAGCGTGCTTCGTTCTCGTGATTACGTGGAAACGAAGGAAAAGAAAGTATAAAGGTGTGAAGGGAAAGATATGCGAGAGATGTGTGAGTGTGAATGGAATGTGTAAGTGTAAAATGGGTGTGAAAAATTTGAAAAATGGCGGAGAATTAACGAGCAATTGATTAAATGTAACATTTCTCTTCAACTTTACGTTATATTGGAACACGTTGATTTAATTTAAATTAATTGTTAATTCACCAGGGTAACTTGGACCGAGAATATATCGAAGAGAAATGATGTGAATATTCAAGTCAAGGCTCTGCTATTTTGTGTAATGTACAATCTATTTTTTTTTTTTTTTCATGTTGCTTTTCTACGAGGGAGGGAGAGGAGGGGGTTGGAGAGGAGCCGAATCTGTTTAAACTCGTTAATATTAAAATTACGTGGACGACGAGAGTCGAGTTTTTAAGTTCGGGATCATTATGATGGCGAACTTTTTACAGTTTTTAAAGCGATGGAACGCGTGTAAAAGTGTGCGTGTAAACTGGCCGCGTAAAACTATTAATGCGGCGAGTTTGCGGCGACCTTGAGTCTACCACGAATATCGAGCTATGAACGATAATCGTGGACGGAGTTTTAAACGTGCGCAATACGGCAATGGGGGGAGTTTGTTGATTGCGTATTACCGTCTGATAAGGATACAGCGCGATATATAATTTAACTCTTTGTGCAGAATTTTTATATTAGGAAATTGTTTCAAATTTTCCTTTTTCGGATAATGTAATTTATTGATTTTTCGTCTCTTGTTTCACTGAATTTTTATATTAAATATAAATGTGGTAAAAGTTTTCAAGATATTTGTAAGATTGTCCATGCCATATTTTTCACGTGATACATCTCTAATAATATAGAGAAATAAACTGTGTATAATTAAGTAATACTTTTTCTTTTGACGACAGGGAAGAAGAAATATTGGATATTGTGCTTCGAACGGATCGAAAGATAGACGAATGAAGGAAATAAAATATCAAAATGGGAAGTGCTTAAAAATAGCAATTATCAGCTGCTCCCTTTAATAGAAAGAATTATCGAATAAAGTGAGGATTTTTAAGCACTTAGTTAGGAACGATTAATAATCGACAATGGGGAGGATGCTCGACGATTCGTTTCGTTCGGGAAACTTTAGCAATTACTGATATTCTCGCGTTGGACGGGAACGAGAAGGAGGAGAAAACATTAAGAGTTTGATAAAAGTGAGATTTCTTCGGGAGGAGAGTAAATTAAAATCCGCTTAATAAATTAAGCGATTAGTCAAAGACTCATTTTTCTTTTTTTCTTTTTTTTTTTTTTTAGACGATCGCTACTTCCCCTCTCGAAAAACGAAGACCCCTCTCTTCAACGTCAACCTCCAACGAAAATTATCATACCATTGCACGAATTTTTATCTAAAAAAAAAAAAAACAAAACCATGAAAAATCAAAATTCCTCTCCTCTCTAAACACATCATTGTCCGTTTTAATCCCCCTGCTTAACCTCTCTCGAATTAGAAAACACTCCCCGCCATTATATCTCCGCGCTTAATATCCCCTGAAACCCATATAGATACGAATTTTTCGCGAATTTACTTTCTTTCAACGAATTAACCCGAATTTCGTTCCAAGACGGGGGTTGAATTACGAGGGGGGGAGAGGGGGTGAAAATACGGTGAAAATCTTGTTTGCACGCCGCGTGGAGGAACGCCGTTTGTCCTACCTGCGCTCCACTCCTCTTATTGTTAATCTCCTTAATGCACGCTCCACGCCTGGTGGAAACTGGCACAACCACCGGTTGGCGAGTGGCCGCCATTTTCGTGTTTATTATTTATCGTTGGACCGCGCCCGTAGCGCTACCTAGGTCGCAAACATCTGTGCAAACCCAGCGTACAATAGGGGTAGGTATGTGTTTATTAAATTCAGAATTAGACGGGCCGGCTGACATCTCGGATTCCAGGCTTCCCTGGAAACGGCGAATCACCGTTGTCACACCACCTGCTAATTTCACTTCCGCCGATTTCCACCGCGCTAGATGGCGTGCACGTGCGCTTATGCGCCGCTCGTAAAGATACGTCATCGAGTAAAATATATATCGTTTGTCATCCGAACGAGTCGTGTGCGGATTTCGATCCGTTATGAGAATATACGAGGGGAGAATCTTTTTTAAATTCGTTTGGTTTTTGATTTTAATCTTGAAAAATAATGGTGCGATGGAAAGTTTTAATAATCGAAAATACCTTTCGTTTATGGGGGGATACGTGTGAGATAGATATTTTGTGTCTTTTTTTTTCGTATTTATAGATAGATTTATGGGATAAGAAGGATATAAGAAAATATATAAGAAAGATTTAGAAAGACAATATATAAGATATAATATATAAGATATAATAAATATATAAGAAAGATTTAGAAGACATAGAAAAATTTATAAGAATTGTTAGTTGAATGAATCGATGATAGCTGTTCTTCGTTAAAGCTAGATTTTCTATAAATTTTTGAAACTCGTCTCGGAGGGGGAATTTTGATGTAGCTGTAATTAACGTAGATGTAGTCTATTTTCGTGGGGGGGAGGGGGATGGGGAACTCTGCGTCTGCCCGCTTTGTCCATCAAACTTTTTCTTTCTCTCCTAGCCAACGGAGGGGAAGAGCAACGGACAGAGAAAATAAAGGTTGCGAAAGAACGACAATCGGAAGCCTTAAGAGCTCTCTCGTCTCGTCTCCTGAAATATCGCATAATACGAAACACGAATCAAAACATTTATCGCAGTATCGCGGCTCTTATCCTCTTTATTATCGAACAATTTACGATTTTATCGAAAATTTTTGCCCCCTCCCTCTCGATAAAAATCATCGAATTGTCTATTAACGTAAATTTTATTGCATCTTAAATCCTAATAGAAATTCTATGTTCGAAAATGAATAATTTTGAAGATTCTTCGTACAAAAGTTTCGAGAATTCCAAAGTTATGAGAATCGATGAAAATATAGGATAATATTTCAAAAAAAAAAAAAAAAAGAGAAACCAAATTCGTTAAAATTCGAAGAAAGAATCATCTGTTTATCTGTCAACAGATAATCGACTCCCCTGTTCTCAAAAAATTGTCACCTTCTTCTCGCTCAATTTCTTCAAGGTCTTCAACCACGTTCCCAATTAATCGTATCTCGAGGCGAGATGCCGAGGTTCCTAAGTCTCGTTGCGTGCCACTTTTTCTTTTTTTTTTTTTTTTTTTTTTCTTCCACCCGGATTAACTTAACCCTTGCTCCCCTCCATCCCCTTGTCCCCTTCCCCCGATCGAGCATCGAGCGAGGAACCCCCTTTCATCTCCGGTCCGCCAACTCCTCTCTCCGTCCCCCGCTTCCTTTGCCTGTCCACGTAGCCGGGGATGAAGAGTTCCGCTGTTGCTTATTTTCCTGCAGCCTCTCAAATTATATGTCCAACTTATTTTCTCGCTCGACTCGCCCCGGGGATTTCTGCGAATCTCTTCCACCCGAACATTCCGTGACGTAGACGACGCACAGAGAGAGAGAGAGAGAGAGAGAGAGAGAGAGAGAGAGAAGGAGGGGGCGGAGGACTTTATTAAACCCCAAAAGAACGAAGCACGACGTCGTTCGATTTCCGAAGCACGCGATTCCGTTTGATGTGGAACAAACCCCCCTCTCCTTCCTATCGCAACTTTCCACGATTAAAGAGGTGTGTGTGTATATATATGTGTGTGTGTGTGTGTATGTGTGTCTGTCGCGCGCTCTGATACCTGCTCCTCCTTCCACGCTCACCTTCCAAGGGGCTACGCGCGCTTTTTGCCCCTTTGGAAGAAAAAAAGGCGCGAGAAGAAGTAATTGCCTCGCCACCGTCACCGCCGCCAACCAACGCGGGCCTCTCTCTCTCTTTCTCTCTCTCTCTCTCTCTCTCTCTCTCTCTCGATATCGAAAGCTCGAGATGCAGAAACGCCTTTGGAAATCAAATCGAATTACCCTGTTCTTTTGGGACTTAATAAAGTCTTCTTCCCTTACCTTTGAACCGAAAGGAGACATTTTCTCCTGGTTTCTTTCTCTCCTCGCCGTGTCTTCCACAGCCCTCCCGACCGAATGCAATTATCGACGGTGTTATCTCGAGCCTCGATAAATTTATATACGACGATCTCTCTTCTTGTTCCTCGATTTTGATTCCCTTCTTCTTTTTTTTTTTCGTTTCTTCTTCTTCTTCTTCTGTCGTTTGATCTCTTGCTTTTTTTTCTCTCAGGGTTGTTATGTGCGTTTAATTCGTGTCAATTAGATCGAGGTATTTTATTGGTAAAATACGTAAAGGAATTTGGATTTTGATTTTGATATATGTCGCACGTGATATTCAAAAGAGTTCGAAGCTTTTAGATTTTGGGATTTAAAATTTGGAAGGAAACCAATCCAAGGAAAAGTATCGACTTTGAAGGAATTATGGGAGGAAAGTTGTCCCTGATTTATCGTTTAACGTCACCGTGTCGCGATTGATATTTCAAACAGTGTCGTTTCGAGATGAGCGATGAGCCAGGAGAAGAAGAGAAGAGTTCGAAATCGATAACTCGCGTGCAACTCCTTTCTTTTCTTCTCTTTTTTTTTTTTTTTTTTTCCAAAGAGCGACAGGGAAATCGAGGGAAATCGGTGTAGCTCGCGCTCTCTTTTCTCACCGCTACGATAAACCGGTGCATTTAATTCGCCTCGAAAACGTAAGGACGTCGTTCCTTACTACAATTCCCCCTCCTTCTTTTCGTGCTTCTTCTTTAATGGCCACTTTTCAGGGGACTCGTATAACATTAGGACCCTGCGCGATGAAACGGACGCGTTATACGGGGTGGCCTTCGAAGTGAGATCGCCTCGAAAATTGTCGAATTTGATGGAAATCGAAGCTATATATATTAGACACGATTATTAATTAATAGTACTTTTGTACTATTAAAAGGAAAATGTGCTTGCACGGTGTAATTGTTTGCGGAACGAATAAATAAATCAAAGTGAATAAATTAGATACCTTGTTGGTAAATTTTGAAAAATTTGAAGAAACTATGGAATTATTTAAGATCGAGAGAAAGAAGAGTGGATTTAGGAGGAGTCTTTATTTCTGGTTTGAAATTAATTTATTTTCGTCGTTTGTGCAATATATTGGAACGAAGGAAGAAGAGCATAACGAAAGAGATATTTCAAGATACATTTCGATCCAATTCTCTTATTCTATTGAGTTGTTCGAGTGAAAATTATCGATGAAACCGGATTAGGAGAAGAAGTTAGGAGAAGAAGAAGGGGCAAAGTGTTGGTTTATTTAACTGGAACCGCTAGAGATAGAAGTCGAGGCAGTGGTATACAGTTTGCCCCTTTAAACGCTAGAATTGCGCCACGTTTAACGTTTATGGCGGTGTAACGAGGCAGACCGGCGGATATTTTATATTTTATCATACCTTCCACGTTAAGGCAACGTTATACGATGCCTTATTCTAGCCGCCTTCAAGACGGCGCCCTTCGTCGAATTACACATGGCCATCGCGAATTTTATTCGTCAAGGATTCTCGTACATCTCTTGATTCTCTTTCGCGAATGATCAAGTGATGGAAAGGAAAAGAGATCTCTGAGATTCTATGAATTTTATTCCTCGATCAGATAATTTTGTCAACGATTCATTTCAGTGTACTTTTTCTTTGTATTATTTTCAGGGAGAAGAGATTTTTAAGAGATTGAAATTTTTTTTCTTTTTAATTTTCATAAAAGAAAGTAAACATAATTGTTCGTTGAGATTTCGTGAATTAATAGCTTTTAGATTTTTCAAAATCATCGACGATCTTAAATCTTGTATTTCTCTTGAATAATAATTTTATCGAGTTAATTCCTAGAACGAATCGGAATTAATTATTTGAAAATCGGAGGATTCGAAAAATATCGAAAATCATTCGAACCGCGACCGAAAAGAAAAAAAGATATTTTCCTCTTGCACATTCGGCACATTCGAACGTGCATCCTATTAGAAAATTGGTCCTCGAGCTGCTTACACTTTTCCCTCGACCGACTTTTTCCATTTTCGCTCTTCACTTAATTGCAATTCCAACGAAGTAAAGAGTTGCGCACACAGGGAGGGTGGCGACACACTCTTTGTTCGTCCTTCTCGCCGCGCAGCGGAAAAAGAAAAGAAAAGAAAAGAAAGGAAAAGGAAAGGAAAAGAGAAAAGAACGAAGAAAGAAAGAAAGAAAGAAGAAAGGGGGGAGGGAGGGAGACCGCGCCCCTTATCAGACACACGGATTTCTCGTTGGAAGGATCGATGCCGGGATGGATCACAAAGCCCTTGTTTCCATCAGCGTTTAGCCGTATCGTTGTTTAGCTGATTGCAAAAGAATCGAATTGCGTGTCGAATTCCCTCTTGTCCAACGAATATCCCTCGAATTATCAATGCTGCCCGTGGAAATTGGCGGTTCGCTATATACCTGGCCGGCACAAAGGAGATTTAATTAATGGAATTAACCTGAAATGGCTGCCGCCGTCTCTCTGCCCGGTTTGCAATTTCAATTCCTCTTCGGTATGCCTCCTCCTCCTCTCTCTCTTTCTCTCTCTCTCTCTCTC